TGATAGCCCTTGTATTAGTACATGTTAATGCACCAGAAGCATGGAGAGCCAAGCATTTGGCGATGTACTTTAGTATAAGACTACTCACATGATGCCACTAAATAAAACTCTTTAAATTCAGCTGTTATAACTCTTCCTTCATTGTCATGCTCTGCAATGCCTGAAAAAACATGATACGTTTTGACTCTTTGCAACCCATAATGATATTGCTGTTTATTTTTATCTGTAAAAGAGACATTCCTGAAGGGTTAAAGTTGACTGTACATGCAATTAATTCCCAAGTGACTTCTGATAAACTGCTAGATTCTCCTTTCAATTTTCCTTTATGTGTTTGTCAATCAAAAAGAGAATTAGAGGTTGCATCAGGAGACACTTAGTACCTTATTCCCATCACCCCTAGATTATCGTCAAACAAGAACCAATCAACATACCATTAATTTTATATTATAATGTTAATACTTACACTGTACAGTGTAATTTCCAGGAAAAGCACAAATAACAGAGATTTACAATAAAGTTCACAGCAAATTCAGGTTGACATTACTATGTTTTCAAATTTAGAAATGAGCAAATAAAAACTGTTCTGTTGTGTTCAGAGTAATTCTTCTAAATGAAATCAGCATTAATCAAAAGTGCTTATTTCTGTGTAGAAAATAATAATCCATGTACATGAAAAGTAAAGGATAACCTTGAGCCTCACAGTGCTACAACATCTAAAACAGAACTGACCTATTCCATAGGATACATTCAATGGCTTTGTCTTGCTGCAGAGTCTAAAATAAATATATAATCAAAAGAATATCAATTTAATAATTAATGTCATCACTACAATGATTTGGAGGAGGTAGTATACTAGGAATAGGCTTTACCACAAAGAGCTAGCCTTCTGAAAGGAAACGCATTCATTTTAGCCTGAGCAGAGACTTCCTATGGAAAAAAAAGCAAATAAAAACATCTCTCTAAAATAAATTTACGACTGGTACCGTAATATAAGGTGAAAATTTAAAAAAACCTTGATTCATATGCACAAGCATAATAATACAGTAATGGAATTTCGAGATAGTGTGTTTAGTGAGGCTATAATTTATGCATAAACTGAATACTGGACTTTGTACAAGTAAATTGGCCACTTGATGGATGTTTTTGGAATGCTTTAACCGCTGTAGTCATTCTTTAACTCTTAACTTCTTGAACTCTTTTTGCAATAAATTTGTAAGGCTGAATGTACTTTTATGACAGCAGTCATTACATAAATTTTTGGTGTTGCAATGCCCACTCTAATAATGCATTTCTAACTATAAAAAAATAAAAAGAAAAATTATGACAACATACAGTTTGCAGGGCAAGCATGGATAAGCTAACAACCTACATAATTATTTGGAAAGCATATTCAAAGAAAGCACATGAGCACCAAAATGCCTTAGAAAAGCTGGTTCTATAAAGAGGAGAATCAGTTCTGAGTATTCAACCCCAGATAGGGCACCACTACAGAATTGGGATCAAGTAACTGAGGGTACAAAGGGTGAGAAAAAAACCACGGCCTTTTCTTGTAAAAGGTTGCAAATTTTTTGAAAATGCATTGTAAAATAATCCATAATGTCACATGGCTAACCAATCAAACCTAGGAAATTTCAAAATTTTTTTGCACTTCATGTCATAATTCAATATGTCATTCAGGGTGGCTGAGCAGTTAAAATGCTGGACTTGTAATTCAGATGCCCCCAAGTTCATGTCCTGCCCTGGCCACTACCTAGATTTTGCCAACTGGTTCACCTCCTACCAGTTGGTTGTTTTAATAATGTTATGTTCCATTTACAGTAAATTATTTGCCTCATTATCCCTGAAAAAAACCCATAAGGGGAGATCAAAAGGATAATTAAAGTACTGTAATTATCATTATTAATATTCTAAATAGAATGACTTTAAAGAGATATCAGGTGTTTTGAAATTATTTTCAGACTTTGGACCTGTACAAAAGACTTGCATGTTTGTCATACAAAACAATACTTTTCACTTTAGAAAAATAATGCTTTATTGGATTTACATACTCACCCAACTCCACTGTAACCTTTTGTCTGTGCTTCAGCCCAGTAGGTATGATATCCAGGAAATTTGACCTCCTAAAACAGCACAAAAGTAAGACTTGTCAGTAACAAAACAGGTTAATAACAGAAACAAACCATACAAATACAAGAATTTTATATTACAAGGCTTTGGCTAAAAAATAATAAAATTGGGGAACATCATCACATTCAGAAAAGGGGGAAACAGAACTGAATCTATAAAAAGCTGCCAGCTTGAGGTAAGAGACAATAGCAAAAAAAGTGGGGTTCTCCAGTAATTCCAGTGACTNCACTACAGAATTGGGATCAAGTAACTGAGGGTACAAAGGGTGAGAAAAAAACCACGGCCTTTTCTTGTAAAAGGTTGCAAATTTTTTGAAAATGCATTGTAAAATAATCCATAATGTCACATGGCTAACCAATCAAACCTAGGAAATTTCAAAATTTTTTTGCACTTCATGTCATAATTCAATATGTCATTCAGGGTGGCTGAGCAGTTAAAATGCTGGACTTGTAATTCAGATGCCCCCAAGTTCATGTCCTGCCCTGGCCACTACCTAGATTTTGCCAACTGGTTCACCTCCTACCAGTTGGTTGTTTTAATAATGTTATGTTCCATTTACAGTAAATTATTTGCCTCATTATCCCTGAAAAAAACCCATAAGGGGAGATCAAAAGGATAATTAAAGTACTGTAATTATCATTATTAATATTCTAAATAGAATGACTTTAAAGAGATATCAGGTGTTTTGAAATTATTTTCAGACTTTGGACCTGTACAAAAGACTTGCATGTTTGTCATACAAAACAATACTTTTCACTTTAGAAAAATAATGCTTTATTGGATTTACATACTCACCCAACTCCACTGTAACCTTTTGTCTGTGCTTCAGCCCAGTAGGTATGATATCCAGGAAATTTGACCTCCTAAAACAGCACAAAAGTAAGACTTGTCAGTAACAAAACAGGTTAATAACAGAAACAAACCATACAAATACAAGAATTTTATATTACAAGGCTTTGGCTAAAAAATAATAAAATTGGGGAACATCATCACATTCAGAAAAGGGGGAAACAGAACTGAATCTATAAAAAGCTGCCAGCTTGAGGTAAGAGACAATAGCAAAAAAAGTGGGGTTCTCCAGTAATTCCAGTGACTGGCGAAAATTGTCACCTGATCATCAAGAAAGCACCCCCTACTCACAGAAAATAATCATTTTTAAATAGGATAATTCTAAAATCTGTTGGATGTGTTTTAGTGCAAAACTTTTTTTCCATGAAAACAAATCTGATTTAAAATATTGGTAAAGCAAATATGGCTAATTAAAGATTCCATTCTCATGAGTCAAATTCTTCTTCTGCTCGCTCAAAATGCACTGAAATACACTTTTCAGCTTTAGTACAAATCCAAGAATTTCATTCCATTACAGCAATGATGGCCCATGCTCTACATGTAGTAGCACCCAGTGGTCCCTGGTACAGTCAACCATTTGCTCTTGGGAAACTAGAAAATATTTATTCATAAAAAAACATGTGCTGGGCACCCTGGAATTCACAGGTTGAAAAAATTGGGCTCCCTTCAATATTTATTATTGTTCATTCAAAATATTTCCCCAATTCTGATTGGCTAAAAGCACATGCATAATTCACCATAACCAGTTACTAATGACCAAATTTGGAAGAATTTTGTGTTTAATGAGGAGATGACGTCAAAAATGCAGCCCTCTACAGGTTAAAGCACCGTTAACCGAGAAGACCTGGGGATGAGGTTGAGTTGTTTTTGTTGTGAAAACTAAAATGGCGGACACTTCACTCATTTCAAGAGTAAGAACTACAGCTGGAACTAGGCGAAACAATGGCTAAAAACATAGCAAAAACAGCAAGAAGACAACTCGGAGGGTGACATCTGCTATTTGGAGAATATTTACAGATCTGGACAAATCTAAACATACACTATCGAAGATAAACTTAACATCGATGCAGGTAAGCATGTTTTAGCTATGTTTTTAAACTAGGAATTATTTTGAAAGAATAATCTCGGAGCGTGTTTTTCACCTCGGCCTTTGGCCTCGGTGGATAACACCCTCCTTGATCTGCTTAATTCTTCATATCCTACTCGGCCTCATTCATTAATTGCTAATTAAAGCACAGCCTTGTTATGGAATAATCCCCCCCCTCCCTCACCCCCAGGAAACAAGATATGTAAAAATTGTAATAAACCACATGTGTTAAGTAACAAATGTAAAATAAACTGTAGATGGAAACCTTGGGAACATCTTTCTCTTGGCATTTAGTCTCTTGAATACAGAATATGTCTGGATCTTCATTTTTCACATATGATGCTGAGCCATTTTTCTGAGGAAAAGAAATTTAGTGTTAGCCTTCAAAACAAGAACATGTTTCAGTACATAAAATTTTGGTCAAAAAAGAGAAGAGCTAAATGTATTTTGTATCAATTTACTTACCAGCCACGCTCTAATACCATTTACATTCCAGCTAGAAATCTTAAAGTTCCATTTTCTAAAAGAAACATGTTACTATTTAGTAAATAACTTGGCAGCTTGTCCTAACTGCAGTGTACATGAAGATCTGTAGATGTTTTCTTTTAACAAATAAACACTAACAGTCATACTACAGGGTCATACTGATGGTAGCAAGGAAAAAAAACCTGCCATTGGACCAGAATAAGCACCACACCAATATGTTATTGTGTTGCAATATTTTGTTGAACAAAAATTAACCCAATCATCCCTGAACCGCCCATAACTACCCGTGCGGATCCACGTCCCTTCTACTGCTTGTTACATTATTGTTAGTTTTAACGGTTAAGGACAACTTTGTCCACCAACTTATGCAGGGTGACACTCTTTAACCAATCCTTCCTAATCCTAAGATCCTAGGAGCTTTCCCAAGAATGTTCCCACCAAAGTGAAGCCTACTAAATGCCCAGGAAAAGAAAAAATATATATTATGCAAGAAAAGAGAATGGAGAGGGGAGGAGAGAAAGTGAAAAGAAAAAGTCAAGAATGCTGTGTTGATCACTTTTAAACCCAAAAACTATCTCAAACTTTTGCTTCCTGCGAATGCCTGTACTTTGCCCGCTAATATTTTACATCTGGATCAGAAGGCTGAGAAGTGTACGACCTGTAAACAGCTTTGCGGTCAGTTTTAGCTCTTTATAGCCAGAAAGAAAACTGCTCAACTAGCTTCAAAACACATTTTTCGGCAAAATTCCGAGGTCCAAATGAGTTAATTATTGTACAGTCAACAACTGTGGTTTACTTACTTATCTGAAGTAGCACATGAAAAGTCAGTTTCTTCTTCATCCGCATTGTCTACATTTGAGTCTTCTGCTTCACTATCATCTTTCTTAGATTTCTTAGCTTCAGGTTCATCATCACTAGCTTTGCTTTCCTTGGCTGGGCATTTTCCTTTCCCCTTAACATTCTAAAACACAGTGATATGCAAGTCACGTAAGTGAGCTTTGGTCAGAATTATGCCAACCCAGATTATTTTTCTGTGTACAGTCAACCTGGGAGGGGGGTGGTATTCTCCTGTAAAAGTGATGGGGCTGCTCGTGTACCTTTTAGGGGGTTAAATTTGTGAATTGGTACCGCTTAGGGTGCTAAAACCTAACATGACTGCTGCTAGAGTCGTCTCGGTAAGATTTATGACAATGCTTTCAAAAAGTCTTTGAGAACAAAGTGTCTGAAAGTTATCTTTATTACTATTAAAATTTGCAGTTCCAATTTGTTGTTGTTAATTTGGTATCTCTTAGGGATGGAAATGAATTTGGGTCACGCCCATAAAACAAGATTCTGGTACCTTTTAGGGGTGTTCTTAACAAGCATCCCCGTCACTTTCACATAGGAATTCCCCCCGCGCCGGTTTGTTTTTTCCCTACTGAAAAACCACGTGACATCACTCATGTCCAAAAGATGGCGGGTATCGAATCGTAAACATGGTCGATTGTGTACACTAAAGCAAGTCAGCCGTTATTAAACAAACACTGTACTTTATTTTCATACACATCATTTTGCCATCTCCGCCCGCAAATAGCAAAAGCTAGACGAGACGTTAACTTGCTTGTCTAACTAAGCAGTTAATGCTTATTAACTAAGCAGTTAATGTTAAATAAAATATTGTTTAACAGCGTTGCAAACAATTTTCATTAGCACGAGGTTGTTTTCTGTTAATACAATGATCGCTTGGTCCGCGAGATACGTATTTTTAATACCGTCTTTCCGGAAAACTCTGCAAATCGAACAAATGCATGGCGAGAAACATTGATCGTTTAATACCCACATAGAACGTCGCCTATGGACAAGTACAAACACGAGTTTAAGAAATCAAAATCACGTTTACTACTAGAAAACACCATACCTTTGTCTCCTTGCTCTTTTTTGGTGGCATTGTTTAATATCGAGAGGTCTTCTATCTGCTCCGATCCGATCGAACTCTTTCCCGCCTGGACGATAAAAGACTTCATGTATTGCACACCAATGTATGGCAGAAGCTGGGTGGGGGCTGCGAGACGGTTTGGCATAGCGCAAGGACATAACCGTTCATTTTTCCTCCGGGAATAGACCTTGTCACGGTTTTCGACGCCATCTTCACGAGTAGCCAAACCCGTGAGAAATTACAGTGTTTGTATGAGAATCTAATGTCGAATAATTTCCGGAAATGCGTTTGCTGTTCGCAGGCTAGTAAAATGGCTGTTTTAAAAAATATATCAACAGTTAACTAAAGTTTCACTCTTAAGGCTTCTACTGAAAAACAGACAAATGTATAGAAAATTAAAAAAAAAAGGTTCTATGTCTTCTAGCGCATCATACGGAGTCTCCCCCCCCCCCGGGACTGGGATCACAAGTCAATTTTTTTTCGCGTAACACTATGCAAATTGTTGTTGCCAGCCTCCGACAACAGGACATGCTTAGCTCTGTTTAACCTGTCGTTTGGCATATCCTTAGCCATTTCACCACTAACGCAGGATAAAAAAAGTATTTCATTGACATTTTTCCGAAGAAACTCCCATTTCACTCTGGGAAAAGTTATAACTGAATAAGGGTACGCAGATTTACGACAGTGTGCGTGCGTAACACTACATCCAATCGTCCCGATTCTATTGTGTGTATTGACTCATTTCCGGGTCACTGTAAAGACATCCTAATCCTTTTATTGTAACACAACGTCGTGGTTTGCAACGTGTTTGCAATCGCGCTGGCTGAGAGAAAAGCCCGGGGAGAAAAGGCAGACTGCAAGCGGTCTAGTGCCAGTAAAATGCCAATACCGACAGAAGTTGGTTTTATCAAGTTTTATTTCATATGGTGCGTCATCTTTTATGAAGGTAAGGATAGATGTTCGGCTTCAATACACCCTATGAAGGATAGACCTTGTCACGGTTTTCGACGCCATCTTGATGAGCAGGTAAATGTGTGAGAAATTAAAGTGTTTGTATCACTATGAGAATCTAATGTCGAATAATTTCCACAAAACGGCTGTTCTGAAAAAAATATCAATTGTAAACTAAAGCTTCAAAGCAAAGGATTGTCCTAAACAATTTTGGGGACGTACGTCTAGTTTTCCATTTATCTCGTGAATCTCTCGTGAACTATGTCCGGTTCGCTCGCGACTGTTGGTTTGACACAAGCGCTGAATTTCACTTTGCTGCGTTTTTCCTCACACTTAGGCCTGAATAAAAATCCAGCAAGGTTATTGCAAGCTTTTGCAATTATAATTAACAATCGCAGTTGCTTTTTTTGTTAGAATGCTGGACAAGAAGCGAGACGCGTATATTTACAGGCGCGCATTGGTCTAGCAGCATTGCCGGTCTATTACTTTTGTGTGATGATATTGATTTTTCCCAGCTGAGTGTAAAACGCTACTGATAAGTCTTGAATTTTTTGCTAGGTAGATGACTTTTAACTTGAATCATATTTTTTAAATGTATTTGCCTTCATGATCGTACATATTTTTTTTTTTATTTTAGTACCTTTTATCCATCGATTCATCCCAGCAACAATTTTGTTTTTGTTGCTAGTCGGTCTGTAAAATATGTTTTTGAAATGGAAATACATCTCGCGCTTTTGAAGTGTCTGTAAGCGCGGATACCTGTGGATGGCGGATGACTAGGCTGTGTTGCGGACGCCCGGGATTATTATTCGCGGGCTACTTTCTCCGCGGGATTTTTCGCAATTTAGCCTGTTTAGAGTCGTTTTTCTCCCTTCTTCTTCTTCTTCTTCTTCTTCTTCTTCTTCTTCTTCTTCTTCTTCTTTTTTTGAACAATTTGATATCCTGCGGTTTTTATTTTCAATCGCCAGATGACACGCGCTCGACGATCTCTCAACGAGAAAATAAGGGTCTGTGAAGACCTGTGAATTGGCTGCAATTTGACTCGCTCCCCCCCCCCCCCGGGGCACTCCTTATTATGGCCAAAACGGAAGGTTCAGCCCGAAAAGGGTACCTTATTCGGACTTTGAGTACATGAAAGGCTAGGGATTTCGTTAGTTGAAGTATATAAAAGGGTAGAGAAATCTGTCATTTTGTCTCATGAGGGGACACAAAGGGCTTGCACTGTAAGTATCCCGGAGAGCTCCGTACAATTCCTTATAATTTTGTTATAAGGAATTGTATGGAGCTTTCGAGGAGACTTTTCTTAATTAGTTTAGGCGCGGCGGATTTTGTCACGTATGATCAGCGCGAGGTGTTTCTCCCGACACCCTTCTGTCAGGAAAACGTCATCATATGAAAGCAAAACAGACACCATCGCGTCGGCGGGCCGAAGCCGGCAAAAATAAAAGGCTTTTCTTCTTCCATTTCAGAGGTCAGTTTTGTTTCGATCTGGTCAAAAATCAGGTTTTTAGGTTGTCGGTAATAAGATATTGTCTTATTCTGTTCTCAAGGACCTTTAGAAAACGAGACAAACGAGATAATTGACTAGAGAAAGAAGCGTGAAAACGCTTTTTTGGAAGAAAATTTTTTTTAATTCCCGCAGCGATTTTGCGAAATCGCGAAGCGCAATATATTCAGTTTCTTCCAAAGCCGTCATGATTAAGCAGTGTAATGCCATCACAACTAAAAATGAATTTAGTTTGTGTCGCAAAAGCCGCGAAAATAGAGCTGAAAAAAAAAA